TCCAGAAATAGACTGTACCGTATGTTACAAAGCTACTGTCACATTAGCTAATCTTTGTAAGTAAGTTTTTGGGGGCCACGGTTTTAGCTAAAACCGTGGCCCCAAAGTATTCTTACGCCTTGCGTAAAAAATTTCACAGCTGCGCCTGTTCCTTTTCGTAAATCCGGCCAAACCTTCAATGTTTGCGACCATCATTATTTTTAGTCATATTATGGCTTAAATACAGGCGTTTAGTATTTGATTGTAAAACTCCCTGAAGAAGTCTACGTTAGTTAGACGAAACGCGTAGGAGAATAAACAAGTTTTACAGCAACAGTTCGCAGAGTGCTGCTCACTAGTTTAGTTTTAAAAATTTTTAAAAATTAAAAATTAAAAAAATATAAACACCATTCAACTATTAAACCATTTCACGTTAACAGTTTTTTGGTGTGAAAGGCGCGATTTATTATGTAGCCATAGCAACAGTGATATTTTCACACGAGAAGATAACATGTTATTTTCACATGTGAAGATACCTAGTTTTCGCGCGAAAGCTCACCTGGTATTCCATTGGTGTTTATATAATAACAAATGTTATAACATTCACTAGTTATCACTACAAATTAGAGGAGTGAGGGATGTTGGAGCAAAGTGGTTTGTAAGCGAGAGTGGGTTTAAGAGGCCAGCGGAGACCGTTTTTTATTCTCTGAATATTTCATGTCTGGTTTCATATAATACATGCATAGTTACATACATACACACTTTATTAACGTGACTAACACTTACCTATAAAGCTAGTTTACAGGTCAGTCACAAAACTAAAAACAAGCCTAAAAACTATATAAAAGTGTTTAGAACGATATATAAAATCATAAAATTGTTAAAACGTATGTACTAAGAAAACCAGGTTAAATTGTGAATAAGGGTCAAAATAAACTTACAACTATATAAAAGTGTTTAAAATGACATAGTACATGAACACTGCAATAAGCTTATAGAAACTATATAATACTTAAATACGAAGAAAAGCTGAGTTAAATTGCGAAAGGGACTATAAACTTGCAAGGTCGAGCTCCTTGAGTCCACGTTTAAAACTGCGGTAACTATCAATGTTTGTTAAATTATTTCGAATAGTGTTCCGTAGTCGGGCAGCCTGGTATCTCCATGACTTGATCCCATACTTTGTTGAATTTACTTTAGGTAATTATAAAATAGCATCACCACGTAAACTGGAATTACGTGCCGTCAATGACTCGGAAATACTTAAAGGTAAGTTTCCATTCCCAATTGCTCCAAACACTGTATTTAACATTTTTGCAAGTCTTTGATCAGCGAATGTGCTATATCCATTTTTAACAACTAGTGCCTAATAAGTGGAGATTTTGTCCTGATAAACGAAGCGGAGTGCCCGCTCGTTCAGTTTATTCAGTTTTCTTCTATATTCTTATGGAAAAATAAGTCATAATTTCACACGGTAAATGAATGGTAATGTTCCAGTTGATGAAACAGTACCCGCCTGCTAAATCGACCAAATAAAAATAGTTTTCAGAGGTCAATAATAACCGCCGGTCAATTAATCATGGGCTTTACTCAATAACTGACGTTCTAAAGGCATTGATCAGTGTTTGCTCTCCCACTTCACGAGAACGCAAAACTCAAACATTTTGCAGCAAAAATGTCACAGTATCCTATACATTAAAATATATTTGGCGTAGTATATTTGCCTGTAGGATAGACAGTAAATTTCAAGATGTAGTATGGCTGAAAATTATCATAGCGAAATGAAATTAGTTCTTCAACAACCTTGTACCAATTCATTAATTAAGGTCAATCATGTAATTACAGTAATCATGTCACGTGCTTCTGGACTCACCTGAATGGAACCCTGTCGTGTTGAACAAATCAGCTTTGAACTGTCAGATGTAAAAACCAGTTGGCTGGCTGGCAATAGCTCAGCAGGTAAAGGTGAAACCTAAGGAAAGAACATCCAGTTAAATCTTTCTTTCGCCTCGGATCTTAAGTTATGTTACCCCAGTTTAAGGTACAGTAAAACGTGCAACAAAAAAACATGCAGCTAGTTATGCAACGTTGCTGCAAAACGAGATGAATAGCGATGTTGCGCGTTTTACCAGCCACAAATCAAACCTGTCTTGTGTCAAGTCAGGTTGTTGCAGGTTAGGAACTAGAGAGTAGTTTTACCGTAGTTAAATACAGCCACTCACTTTTATCACCTGAGATCGTCCATTTGTCGCCTAGTAGTGAAGAAATAAATCAACGGCGAGTTACGAAACACGTGGAAAAGAATACACCTTCAGTTCCAACTGCTGGGTAAGCTTAAAACAACTGTACCGGTTGTGTTTACAAAACACAGCCCTCAACTTTAATCGGAGGGTAAACTTTGACCAAGTCTACATGCATAACATATTATTCTCTTCAACTGCAACCGTTTCCTTAACTCAAAAATGCTATGGGTGTTCTCACTATATGAGTCATTTTTGTACTTCATCTTCAATCTGATAAATCCAAAGACACGTAAAGTGCTCGTATTTTACACTTGACAACTTCACTCTGGTCTCTTACCAAGCCACACGACTACACTCATTCAAGCATTCATTGTAACAGTTGAACTGCAAGTGTTGTAAGGGGACAAAGTTATTGAACTGATTATTACTACCCACTGAAGTTCACTACCAAAAACGCTTTCTAATCAGAGTTTATATAAGGATCAAAAGACATAGAATCATACTTTGGAACGCCGATATTGCTCGTCCCATTATGACAAACGAGATACATCACCTCAGCCATAGTTGAATGTATAGGAGAGGAGCCAGATCCGAACCTTCGTTACAAAGAATACCCATCAATACACTCACCAAATTTAACTTGAACAAGCTCACATGACATACATCAGAAAACGCTGCCCAGCGTCCACATGTTGAAATAGCACTGCAGACAATGTGGTGATCGCCCTATTATGTTAACAAATGCTACAGTCATTGTCTGAAATCATACCTTCAGTTTTAGTTGTGATTTGTGAAGTATTTATCGACGCGATTTCTGTAACACGCCGATCTCTAAAGTGGAGCGTCACATATCGCGTATGTATTCATACTTTACCGGATAGCTTGTCGTGTCGGCACGAAAAGCTATCCAGTACGGACTTGGAGAGAGTAACAACAAATTTACAGTACCTTCTTCTTAATCTGTACGAGAAGAGCCGGTGATCTCTGAGAAGCTGAGCTTTTGCTGTCTACCAATAAAAAAAATGGATAAGTAATAGCGTGATTTGTAGTGATATTTGGTATAAATACCACGAGTGATATTTCGAAATTGTTGTACGTAATTTCACGAGCCGTTAGGCGAGTGAAATTTGAGATAATTTTGAAATATCACGAGTGGTATTTATGCCAAATAACACGTACAAATAATTCTATTATTTCTTTATACTACCAGCCGCAAAAGGTTTGTAATTTTCACATGTAGGTATTTCAAATTAAGCTGAAATACCACTGGTCTAAGCCAATCAAATCGCAGGAATTTTTCATGAAGTGGTATAAAAAAAAATTACTCATAATTTTGCTTCGAATGCTTTGATTCTGGTTCCTGTAGCTATGACCCACACACCGAGATGAATAAATAATTTTACATTATCAGTGATTTGCTGTGTCCATCAAATGCTGAAGGCCAAAAGTACGCGGTCAAAACATCGCCATC